TTTTTTTTTTATTGTTTGTGTAACACACTATGTGTCTCAGTGTTATTATATCTTTTCCTGCCACAGGCCCACAGGAAGAGATTCCAGTTGGAATATGTGGGGCCTATGTACTCTGTTTTTATATATGTGTTGTCCTCTGTGTTGAATGTGTGTACATAAATAAATAAATAAATAAATAAATAAATAAATAATGCCTATAAAAATATTATTCAGTCTGTCATGTTCGACGCGTTTTTCTAATAGAGGTTGTATTAATAACTAGATGAAATGAAAGACGATGTAATTTTAGTAATTTTTAGTTTTCTTTTCTTTAATTTTTTCCATTAGTTTTAGTGTCTTTTAAGTAATAGCTAGTAATTATTTTATTTCAGTTTATACATAACCATTAAACATAACATCACGTCTTTTATCCCCGAAGGGGTAGGCAGAGGTGTACATTATGTCACTGTACAATGTTACACCCACTTTTCACTATTAACCATGTAATAGGGGGTGAGCCCATTGCCATATGTCCAGACTCCGTGCTACTACTGTGAATTTTTAAAACCCCAGTATTCTTTGTGCGACCCGGGAATCGAACCCGAAACCCCTTGCCCGGCAGTCGCAGTTGCGACCATTCGGCCAACGACATAGTTTATATCGTTTGTAAATAAAAGAATTTCTCACTAAACATGAATATTTTGTCCTCAGAGGACGGAGGGCGCTGTCTGCCAGCGTTTGCAGGAAGGAAACTTGGCGAAATCTGCAACAGAGAGAACCAATGTGATGCTGGACTGGTCTGCGAGGAAGTTGTACCTGGTAAGTGGTATCATCACTACACAGTATAAAACAAAGTCGCTAACCTCATATCCTATGTGGAGTAAGTCGCAGGCCAGGCAGAGAACAGCTAGTTATAAAGAATCATGGATTAAATGTTTCTGATTTGAAATCTTAAATTAATGAAAAATATGATCTTTTCCCAACCACATGAATCACAAACACTCTTCAAAGAAAAATGTGACTTATATTAATGAATTCACGGTCCTTATCTAGGCGAGATGCACGTCTGCCGACCCCCATCAGCTGGCCGCAAGCAATACAATGAGGACTGCAACTCTTCAAGCGAATGTGACGTCACTCGAGGACTGTGCTGCATCATGCAACGACGACACCGACAGAAGCCTAGGAAGGTAAGGAACCAGCTCATGTAGTGCAGAGATTGTCCAGTCAACAAGGATGTAACGTACACTGTCCAGGCGACACACGTACTTAGGTATCGTTATGAGCTAATGTTCACATGTAAACAGCAGCTCATGTAGAGGTAGTGCAGAGATTGTCCAGTCAACAAGGATGTAGCGTAGACTGTCCAGGCGACGCACGTACTTAGGTATCGTCATGAGCTAATGTTCACATGTAAACAACAGCTCATGTAGTGCAGAGATTGTCCAGTCAACAAGGATGTAGCGTAGACTGTCCAGGCGACACACGTACTTAGGTATCGTCATGAGCTAATGTTCACATGTAAACAGCAGCTCATGTAGTGCAGAGATTGTCCAGTCAACAAGGATGTAGCGTAGACTTTCCAGGCGACACACATACTTAGGTATCGTCATGAGCTAATATTCACATGTAAACAGCAGCTCATGTAGTGCAGAGATTGTCCAGTCAACAAGGATGTAGCGTAGACTGTCCAGAGTCCAGGCGTCACACGTACATAGATATTTATCTTATTTCATTCTCCCTTCAGACGTCATCCAATAACAAACTCGTTTCTCTTCATTTTTCAGACAATCTATTCTTTTTTTTCTTTAGTCGTGTTCCTTTACATTCTTCGACACACGTAGGTGTCTCGAGGATTCTCCAGAAAATGTGTTTACCAAAGTAAGAGACGGTAAACAAACTCGAAAAAAAAAACATCATTTATGAAAAGCTTTCCAAAAGAAAATACCTCGTTTATATTCTAAAAGTATATTCCTGAAACATTTCATCTGAAACCTTTTTCGTTTTATGTATAAACGTTGAATGAAAGAGATTTCTACGGTATTTACTTTTAAAGGAATATTTTTTGGGATTCCGTTTTGCACAAAAGGAGACTAAGCCCTATTATTAAGGTTCCTTTAGAATGTATCTTTTGAAGCTAAATAAGTAGCCAGGCGTATTTATTTACTGAACCGTCACCGTGCCGTCAGATTGGTTCGGCGGTCCAGTGGTATCCATCGTAAATGTGCAATGGACCGCTGTACAAAGTCAAAGTCGAAGCATTTATTTCAATTAAACCATAATTTGGTACTTTTGAAACGTCAACGAATACAAAATAAATAATAGTCTGTCAGTCAGTCCGTCAGTGAAGCTAGGTGAAGCTAGGTGCTCATTCCAAAACGTAGATTCGAATGGAGTAGAACGAGAAAGAAACTCCAATCGTTACTCGTTTTAAAAAAGTATGTTCTACAATGTCTCTGATACATATTCCAATATATATATGTGAGAACAATGCAAAGACACGCTTGATGCATTATTTTAATTACAAAACTTACTAAAACAAAAAAAAATCTTATCGTCTAACATGGTGCTCACATATTATGCGTTTTTTTATGGCATACATAAGCCGGTAAACGAGCAGACGGATCACCTGATAGTAAGCAATCGGCGTCGCCCATGGACACCTGGAACACCAGAGGTGTTACAAGTGCGTTACCAGCCTTTTGGGGATTACAAATTTGAGGATCGTTTGGGATTCAGGTATTGGGGAGATTGGGGAAGGGGAGGGTTTGTTTAATATTTTTTCATTACCTAACTTACGGACTAATTATATTTTTAATTTTCATACCCTGTCATCATCCCTATTGTATGTAGATAAGATGACAATACATTGTGGTACCATCGAGCTGGTTTGACGATGGGCTACTGACTAGCAAACATATCAAGTTTTGACTCATGAGATATGCCATTTACCTTTATGACATAAAGATGTACTTGAAAATCATGTTCTTAGTTTTTTTAACAAAGAAATTATATCAGTACAGAACCCTACCATTCTAGTCTTTATATAAGACAAGGTTTCTATCTTATATTTTCTCTTATATTGAAGCACAATAAAGAACGTCTTCGCTCCTTGATTCAAAGCTTTTGTGGTGACTGTGGTTTAAAAATGTATTGTGTAGAGTGTAGATGAATGTCTATTTTCTTTGTACACAATTCTTTGTGAGTCGTTGTTATGTCAGATCAGACAATTTTCTAGTAACAGGGTAGATGCTTAATTTTTATTTTAATGTCCGTCTTAACTTTTCACTATTTTTATTAGGAATGAGTCCCATGTAATAGGGGGTGAGCCTATTGAGCCACACAACTATATATTAAAAATATTTACTTAAAACTACCGCGAACCAAGGCTTAACATAAGGAAAAACATTTCTCCAAAGTTTAATACCACCAGAATTTCGTCCGCGCAGTAAATATTTTCATTTAGCACTCGGCGACTCCTCAAAATGGTATTACGGGCCTGTTTTCACTCAACCTAACTGGATTTTATTAAGGAAAACGAAACATTTCTCTTTCTATCAAGTACGATGTCGTTTTTCCGGTTTTATTATTCACTTAAGAGTTCTTTAAAAATGTAATATTACACCTTGAAAGTGCTAAAGACAATGTATTTTTTTTTTATGGAATAGGACGGCAAACCAGCTAACGAATCTCCTAATGGTAAGCTATCTACCCGATCTATGGACACACGCAACATCAAATAAGTTACAAATATTTTTATAATAACTATCGTGAGACATACTAAATTAACTAAAAATAGGGGTTCTTCCTCATGAGCAGCGTGCGCGGTCGCGGCGATGAGGCCGAAAAAAGTAGGCTGCGCGACATCGCCGCGACCGCGCACGCTGCTCATGAGGAAGAACCCCTCTGTAGTTCGAAACTAGTAGAGCTTTTCTCACTATATTCACGTGAGTAACCCGCGATTTTTAGTTAAGTTACAAATGCGTTGCTAGATGTTCACTGCTAGCTGTGAGTAATTATATTTTACTCAACAATTTTCATTAAATATTTATTAATATTGTTTAAACTGTCAAACACCAAGCGGTCACCGGTGACCGCAACCTATTGTTCTTTAATTGTGTCTACAAAACCGGTACTCGACGAATTCCATTTATTTTAGTGTTATGAATGATGTAAATCAGATTTTTTTAAATCTAATTAGTCCGTCAGTTTGGTAATAAAAAATATTAGACACGTATTTTTTATTTTGATGTATAATAAAATGATACTTAGATATAACGAATCAAAGTTTGGGAGTGGGGGCTAAAACGTCATTTCTACGTATAAAATGTACATAGAAGCGACGTCACGCGACATTTCAAATCAATATATCGTCGAAAGTATTCGTTTCTGTAAAAAAATAAAAAAATACGTGTGTAATGTTTTAAAATAATCTACCAGACGGACATTCAATTAAAAATTAGTCATCTACCCTATTCTCAAAAAGCATACTGATACAGTCAAAACCTCGTGGAAGTCTAGTACAATTATAATGAATTTGAAGAACAATATTGTCTTTCAATCCTAACGACTGAGTTTTCCTCGGAAACTTGAGTCGACCTTTTTTTTTAAATATTTTTCTTCTTTATATTTTAGGGTTGCGTCCTAAAAGAGCGCTAAACGAATGATATTACCGATGCTATACAACTCTTTATAGTGTCACATAGATATTAATAGCAAAACTAAAAATATTGTAGCCCTAATTTCATTGTGAATCGTCTGTGATTTTGACTGTTGAGCAAGAGGTTTCTATTTACCAAAGTAATTAACTAAAATCGCGGGTTACTCACGTGAATATACTGAGACAAGCTCTACTAGTTTCGAACGAACAGTGAGCTGCGCGACGTCGCTCGCCGCGCCCGTGCACGCTGATCTTCTCAGTACATTCACATGAGTAAACCGCGTTTTTAGTTAATTTAGTATGTCTCACGATAGTTATTATAAAAAATACCAAAGTAACATTCAGTATAATTCGGTTTTCATTACACAGTAGATAATAGCATGGAGTCGTTTTTAAGCCATAAGCCGGTAAACGAACAGACGTATCACCTGATGGTAAGCAATCGGGGCCATCCATGGACACCTGGAACACCAGAGGCATTACAAGTGCGTTACCGGCCTTTTGGGAATTCGGAATTGAGAGGATTGTAGGGGATTTAGGGATTGGAGAGACTAGGAAGGGGGGATAATTGTGCCTCCGGTAACCTCAATCACATGAGATAACACAACACAAGCGTTGCTTCACGTCGGTTTTCTGCTCGGCCATGGTATCACTCCGGTCGAGTCGGCCCATTCGTGCCGAAGCATGGCTCTCCCACACATTAAAGTCTGGATTGTGCTTAGTATTTTTTTTTAAGGGGGGAAAATCATCGAATGACTGCTCCCGCCTGGGTGGGGCGGGAGGGAGTGTCAGACTCTTACTGACTAAAATCCACCCCGTTCCTTCGAGCCGGAGCCCCGGTTACCCTTTAGGTTCTCCGCGACTCCGAATCGGTATCGGCCCTATTGGGCCCCATCTGTGGTGGTCTGAGGGCTCTTTGAGGCGCGCGCGGAACGCGACGCGCCGTACGCTCGGGTCTGTTTCTGGTCGGACGGTGACCGGACCCATGCTCGCCGTCCGCAGGCCCGCGATTGCGCTTAGTATAAGATACTCATAAAATAACAATTTATATTATGTTTTCTACCTACAACTTAATACATTTGAAGACTTACTTGGTATTATACTAATACTTTCCTCTTTTCAAATAATTCCAACATTATCTCTGTTTTTTAAAGGTCACAGAATCCTTCGCATTTAACTCTTACATCAATTTACAAGACGTCTGCTATATTTCTGAGAACCAATTAGTAATTTTCAAGAAAGTTTTAATGATGAGGATACTTGTATTTTATATTACGATTCTCAATAGAATTACAGTAAAATATTTTTATAATTTTGTACTTATCTATGAAAAAGAGTGACTGCCTCGTTGGCCAAGTGTTCGCAAATGCGACTGGTAGACAAGGGGTCTCAGGTTTGATTCCCAGGTTGGGCAGTATTACTGGGTTTTTTTAAAAGTTCGTTAGTAGCACGGTGTCTGTTTTGTGCTCGGTATATGGCAATATATATGACTCGGTATATAGGGGGTGTCTATTACATGGGACTCATAACATAAATAGTGAAAAGTTGGTGTTATATAAATTGTACAGTGGTATTAAGTGCCGTAATATGCACCTCGGAGGATAAAAGTCATATTATGTAATGTTATGTTATATCTACAAAAAATAACTTAGGAACAAAACGAGTGCTGAATATTAATCTCAAAGAATGAAAAGAAATAGGACGAACACAGAAAAGATAATTAGATTGTGTGAGGAATTATATACAGGAGAAAGAGAAAGGAGTTTGTGATGAGACTTTTTATATAGGCCGGTAAGAAATCGGATTGGGTCCGGGACACCAGAGAAGTGTTTCTTTGATGTTCTAAAATCATCCAATGACTTCTCCCACCTTGGGTTAGGTGAGAGGGAGTATCAGACTCTTACTGACTAGAAACCACCCCATCCCGACTGACTAGACTGACTAGAAACAACCCCGGCAAGCCGTTAGGCCTCCGCGGGTTCGTAACGGGTATCAGCCAACTGGACCCCATCTGTGGTGGTCTGATAGCTCTTTGAGGAGCGCGCAGAACGCGACGCGTCATATGCACGGGTTACACCATAGAAGTTACAAGTTACAAGTGTGTTACCGGTTTTTTGGGAGTTAAGGATTTGGACTGCCTCATTGGCCGAGTGGTCGCAAGTGCGACTGCCGGGCAAGGGGTATCGGGTACGATTCCCGAGTCGGGCAAAGTATTACTGGGTTTTAAAAAAAATCTCAGTAGTAGCACGGAGCCTGGAATTGTGCCCGGTATATGGCAATAGGCTCACCCCCTATTACATGGAACTCATAACATAAATAGTGAAAAGTGGGTGTTACATGATTGTACAGTAGCATAATGTGCACTTCTGCCTACCCCTTCGGGGACAAAAGGCGTGATGTTATGATATGTTATGTTAAGGATTTGAAGTTGAGGATTTTGTGGATTGGGAAGGGGAACCTCACTCACATGGTAAAATACATCGCCAGCGTGTACTCCAGTTTCCTGTGAGGCTGTGGTATTGATTCGGTCGAGATGAGCCATTCGTTCCAAAGCATGGCTCTCTCAACGAACGAAACGAACCCCTAACTAACGAAAACTAATATTTCATTCACTTTGTATCGCTTGTCTATGTAGTGTATGTATTTTAATAAATATTATTTGTCTCCAGAGCTGCGGATATTTCAAGGAGCCCCTGGTCTGCATCGGTCCAGTGGCCACTGATCAGATTCGAGAGTTCGTCCAGCACACCGCCGGCGAAAAACGCATCGGCGTATACCGACTTCATTAATTTACCACACATTACGCCGTTGCGTAAAATTGTGAATTGTCAGCGGTAAAATTTTGAATTATTTATTTATTAGAATAATGAATATTGGCTGGAGTTTCTTGATCATTTTTATTTATTTTTAATATATTTAATGGTTGTTAAGTTGTTTTATGTTTAATGAATTGTTGATGATTATTTTACAATTTTACGCAGCGGTAAAATAAAATGAATCGTTTTTACTAATAAAAATTAATGCAAAGCAAACGCCTGTATGATTTGCAAGAAAAATAAATTACACAGTTATTACGTTTCAATCTTTATTAGTAAAAAGGATTTTTAATCTTCGAGTTTCTCCATCGCTACGAACTGTTACTCGTCTATTAAGTAAAACTTATAACAACAGATTTTGTAATTACGCTCAGAAAAATAATAATGAAATAAAACTTTTATCTTTTATTGCAATATTTATCTTTTATTTCATTTTTTCATTCCAGTAAAAAGATAAATGAATAACTTATCTATTTTAATGTTACCTTTCTGCGCGTAATTACGAAATAAAAGGAAAAGGAAATGGAGAAAGACAAAAAACATGAAATTTCGCTTCGAAAAACGGTCAACCGATACGCTACGTTTTATTTGTAAAAAAGATGCTTTGAAAAAAAGATAAAAAAGAAAGATAGGCAAAGCTAAAACATATCATTTTTAGTTTTTAATTTTATTACGTAGAATTTAGTGGTACGAGAAAAATATTAATGTTTCTATATTAAAATACTTATGAATGTCATTTAAAATTAGTATTTACGGTGACTAGAGGTTGCGTCTCATAATTATTAAAAAAAATACAATTTTAACGTGTTTAATCTCTTAATATTACGAATAGATTTAAAAAATATAATTAATTAAGTCTTCAATGAAACAAATACATATCTTACTGGCTGAGGCATTTAGTAAATATTGATGTTAAAATTAATAAAAAATACTCTATTATTACATAATAATACATATCATAATCGTACGGATAGATATAATCTAGGTAAAGTAAGATATATTGTTTAATTTTTTCGCTTATATTCTAGTCAAACTATCAAACTATGCTAGGTGCCTAGGAAATACATATCAATTATCGAATATGAACATTTTTGTTTCTATTTATAGTTAAAAAGAATAATAAATCTAATTGTTATCACATTTTTATCGTATACTCACTTGATGTTTTCGATCCATTCGTTGGTTGATGTTTTTTCTTAAAAATACTTTAAAAAAAGATAAATCACAATTTATCTTTTTACTAAAAAAAAATTGAATTAAAAAAAAGTAAATAAATAGCCTAAATACTGTGATGTGTCGCCCCTATTTTACGAAAATTTATTGACGAAAGACAAAAAAAAAGATTTATGAATAATATATTTTATTGTCGAGATTTGATCTTTTTCTCTGAATAATAAATTTATGAATGTTAAAGATATTGAATATCTTCTTTATAGTTTTCTGTTAGGGCCTAACAATGCTATGTACTACCGTTGTTCTATCATAAGACTACATTATATGTACCTTGTGAATTAAATTAAATATGTGTTAAATTATAAATTATGTCTGCAATGTAGTTATTATTTCAATTTACACCTCCCAAACTTCCTGCATACGATTCCCTGTCTAAGTACATTAGTAAAAATATTGTATTAGTACCTGTGACTGTCTTATTGTCTCAGACAGGTAGATCGAGAGATATCGAAGGGATTCAATTCCCGTATCGAGTGAAGTACTATTTGAGATTACACTTTCTCTCTCGGTGTACTTCAACAACGGCCTATAAATGTTCACTGTTGAAGAAACCCTTATCTTACACGGAGATGGCTCAAGCATCAATCACCACGCTTGCTCAATGCGGGTTAATAATAATCACGTTTATTAGCACTTTATTGAATTAACACAGTGAAGCCCTGGCTCTTGTACTAGGTATCCCTGTATCACAAGAGCCAGGTCTCTCAATATTCATTGAAACATAGCACCACGTTAGACTTGACAATTAATAATGAAGTCATTATTAACTGTACACACATATAATACGGTCATTATTAACTGTACACACATATAATACGGTCATTATTAACTGTACACACATATAATACGAGTAAATTCAAAGTTAGACAACATTATAAACAAAACCAAAATAACTATATATCAGAAACTAGCTTTTGCCCGCGACTTCGTACGCGCAATCACATTTTACCCCGTTCCCGTTCGTGATTTTCGGTAAAAAGTAAAAAAAAGTATTCTATAAAAAGTATCCTATGTCCGTCTCCTGGTTCTAAGCTACCTCCCTGCCAATTTTCATCTAAATTGATTGAGGCGTTCTTGAGTTATAAATAGTGTAACTAACACGTCTTTCTTTTATACCTCTAATATATAAGATAATAAAACAAACAATAATTAAAACTGACACTGATTGTGAAAGAATGGTGTGTGTGTTCGGAGGTGTGTGTATGTATGTGTGTGTGTGTGTGTGTGTGTGTGTATGTGTGTGTGTGTGTTGTAGATGTTAGTTGAGATGTCAGGCAATGTTGCCGGTTGGCGATGTCAAACTTGTAATTAAGAATTATACGCCCCAGGTTTCCTCCCAAATTATTTCTTCTGTCAGTCACTAGTGTTTAAATAAAAGTTCTATACAATATTCTTAACGAACGATTTATTTTAAAATACTTTTAATAGTAATATGAACAGTTCCTAGGTGAGAATACGTGTTTTCTGGTACCGTAAGCGTTGGAGTCCCCATCTAAACGGCTGTGGGTTTCTATATGTGCCCCACAATTCCGGGTAATAATATAAAACATTTTCGGGTAAATAATATTTAGATCTGTCTTCTATCTCGAACATTGGTATCTGCTTGTTTTCAATCAACTGAAAAGTAAATGAATTGTGATTACAAACTTTTTAAAACAATATTTTATACAGCTATGGCATAAGCCGGTAAACGAGCGTATCACCTGATGGTAAACAATCCGCGTCGCCCATGGACACACGTACCGGTATATGGCAATAGGTTCACCTCAATATTACATGGGACTCATAACATAAGAAGTAAAAAGTGGGTGTTACATTGTGCAGTGCCATTAAGTGCCGTAATGTGCACCTCTGGTGACGTTTTTTTTTTAAGGGGGGAAAATCATCGAATGACTGCTCCCTCCTGGGTGAGGCGGGAGGGAGTGCCAGACTCTTACGGATCTGAGCAGACGGATCACCTGATGGTAGGCAATCGGCGTCGTCCATGGACACCTGGTATACCAAAGGCGTTACAAGTGCGTTATAGGCCTTTGGGGATTAGGAACTTGAGGATTGTTGAGGATTTAGGGATTAGGGAAGGATGGGGGGGGTAATTGGGGCTCCGGTAACCTCACTTACACGACGAAACACAACGCAAGCGTTGTTTCACGTCGGTTTTCTGTGGGGCTCAAGCTCAAGCACTAATCAAGATGGCAACTGCGGTTTGTCTGTCAATGTCATTAAAACGAATTAATAAAACGAAATAATGTCCGTAATCCGAATTTTGAGAATATATTTTTCGACTCGAAATCGATATTTTTTTATGCTTTGTTATTCAGGTAATGTTTCGATCGAGTGTACCGTACCCCTTGACGAATGTCGCGGAGAACCTAACGGGTAACCGGGGCTTTAATAGATAGAGTGATATTTAGGAAGGTTTATAAGTATAATACATGCATATTGCACCCGTGCGAAGCTAGGGCGGGTCGCTAGTAATATTATAAAAGTCGCGGAGAACCTAACGGGTAACCGGGGCTCCGGCTCGACGTGCAGGAGAAAGAACGAGGTGGTTTTAAGTCAGTAAGAGTCTGACACTCCCTCCCGCCTCACCCAGGCGGGAGCAGTCATTCGATGATTTTCCCCCTCAAAAAAAAAAATCCCTTGACGAGATTATTAATATAGATAAAGGAAACATGTAATGCCTAACTTTTATAAAAAACTAGCGACCCGCCCCGGCTTCGCACGGGTGCAATATGCATGTATTATACATACAAACCTTCCTTAAGAATCACTCTATCTATTAAAAAAAACCGCATCAAAATCCGTTGCGTAGTTTTAAAGATCTAAGCATACATACGGACATACAGCGAAAGCGACTTTGTTTTATACTAAGTATGTATTGATTAAACATGTTTAAACAATCACCTGTCAACGTTTTTTGGGAACGTTCCTCATTACGGATCACACTTGACCATTTTTCTGTTTTGTCTCGAAAAAGTTATCTCTTTGTACTTTGTACTTTATATCTTTCAAGTGTTTCTAAAGGAAACAGAATACGATTCTTTTTTCTTTTTGTAGGAAGTCATTATTTTTTTCGTTAGTAATTTATTTGGAAGAGGATAGCAATGTTATGCGCGCTTTTTGTTACAAAGGGATAGGCAGAGCTGTTTGGCTGGCTACAACAATAAAAAAAATCCTAGTTTTTCGCTCGCACTTGTAACGCCTCTGGTATTCCAGGTATCCATGGGCGGCACCGATTGCAACCATTAGGTAATCCGGCTACTCGTTTGCCGGCCTATACCATAACAAAATTGTTTTATACATATATGTGATGGGTCAACGATGGGTCTATCTCGCCTGGTGGTAAGCGATGTTGCGGTCTACGATGAAGCACGTCGTCCCATAAGCAACCTATTCACTCGGACCTTGAAGACATCCAAATTATACTATACCCTATGAGAAACAGACACTGGCAAAGAATTCCACTCCTTAGCAGTTCGCATAAGGAAGCTTGAAGCGAAGATATATATGTATTTGTTTTTTGGAATTATTTAAAAGTAGTACCATTTTATATAGGTAAATAAAGTAAATATGAGTTACTAAATAAGTAATTTGATAAACCTGAACATTTTAAGCGAAGCCTACCAAATATAGATAGACCCTCTTATGTAGAGGAGGCTCATAGAATAATAGTGGGGTTATCACGTGTTGTTAATGAGGATGATCTATATTATATAAGATACTGATCTCAATTCTCATTATTAATTTGATCGAACTCTCACATACACGATGTGACAAAGGTCTGCGACAGTCGCTGTACAGGTCGCTTCCAACTTCGCGATGTGTAGTCTCTGGCGACACTAATGTAATACGACTGCACGGTTGGTGCGGTGGCTGGACAACCGGCTGCCGTGCAACGTGTCGCGGGTTCGATTCCCGCGCGGAACAACACTTTGTGTGATCCACAAACTGTTGTTTCGGGTCTGGGTGTCATTGTGTATGTGAACTTGTATGTTTGTAAACGCATCTACGACACAGGATAAAATTCTAAAGTGGGGCAACGTTAAAAAAAAAGAAATTGTTGTTGACATTTTTTATGTTTTCAAGTGCTTAGCTGCCTGCCCGTTTGCGACCCTATAGCGTTAGCATGCCAGTCGTCTCCCAGCTTTGGTGTTAACTAGTATTATATAGTTTTAGATAAGTTGTGAATTGTGTATTTTCTAAATCAATATAAACTCAAAGTTGTACCTATTTTAATTTGGACTATCATTGAACACATGAACTATTCTGGAGTCAAATAAATTTAAATAAGAATAGACACCACATACTGAATTGGTATACTAATCCGTAACGAGGTGATCGGACAGAGAACTAAAGTTACCGATGTAGCAAAGGATAAGCAAGCTGAAATGGTAGTGGGCCGGTCACATTTGTCGAAGAACCGATGACCGCTGGGGTAGACGTGTTCTGGAGTGGAGACCGCGTCTAGGCAAACGTAGTGTAGGACGCCCTCCAGCTAGGTGGAGTGACGATATACGTAAAGTGGCTGGTAGTGGTTGGATGCGTAGAGCTGAAGACCGAGCTCAGTGGCGTGCCATTGGAGAGGGTTATGTCCAGCAGTGGACGAAAACGGGCTGTTGATGATGACTAAATTGGTGATCCCGCGAAAACGTTTCCGTGCAAATTCCGTGAAAAATAACTACAACATGTGGATTGCCGTAGCTTCGCGAATTTCAAAGTTCTGAACGCATCAACTGAGAGTATGGTTTATACGGACTGAAGGTATTAACACCACAATAAGTCATTGGGGGAGGACTGTGGGAGGCAGTGGACAGTACATGGTTGTACATATGATGATGATGTAGAATTAAATGGCTAATCGCCGTTTTCACCAACCAAGTAAGCTTAAGCGTGTGTGTGGTCGCAAGTGCGACTGCCGGACAAGGGGTCTCGGGTTCGATTCCCGGGTCGGGCAATGTATTACTGGGTTTTTCTCAGTGGTAGCACGGAGTCTGGAACTGTGCCCGGTAAATGGCAATAGGCTCACCCCCTATTACATGGGACTCATAACATAAATAGTGAAAAGTGGGTGTTACATTACAGTGGCATTAAGTGCCGTAATGTGCACCTCTGCCTACCCTTTCGGGGATAAAAGGCGTGATGTTATGTATGTATGTATGTAGTAAGCTTAAGCTTGGATACGTGATATTCAACGACATTTTAGTTCACTTTAAGATGTCATTTATATAGTTACTAGCTTTTACCCGCGGCTTCGCTTATTCATAAAAGGATAAAAGTAGCGTACGTGACATATACCAATACACACAGCG